CGGAAGGTCCCTCTGTCTGCCTGGGTCAGAGTTCTCCCCCAGGAGCGGCAGAAGGTTGAGGGGGGTGACTGACATCTGGGCACTGACATCAGACACCCAGGGTACCAGGAGGCTTTCTGGCCTACCAGCTGGGCGGCCTTGGGCAGTTCCTTCTTCCTCTGTGCCCCGGTCTCCTCAGCTGTCAAGTAGGGAGGACAACACAGAGGTGACCCGCCAGGTCCCGTGAGGGTCTGGAAGCACTGGCCTTCCCTCCGTCATGGGCCAGCCCAGGGCGGCTGCGGCTCAGACAGAGCTCTGAGCTCTGCCTGCCAGAGCCTGGAGCCGGGCTTCAGGAATGGCCACAGGCCAGATAAGCAGGCGAAGGTTCACTGAGGCCTTCCCAGGGTTGTCAGGTCAGGCAGTCTGGTGGACCTGGGGCTCCCTACCATCTGAGAAGTCACACCCGCGCTGCATACTCCATGTGTCACTCGTTCCTGAGTCATTTTAGGAGTGGCCATGATCTAGGATACCTTGTTCTCCCCTCAGCTGGCCCTGCTCCCAAGGAGGTCAAATCCCCCCGGCCTCGCCCACCGTGAACCCAGAGCCTAAGGGGTGGAGGCTGGCAGTAGAAAGGTTAACTGCCTGGCCTGGCTCCTGGAAGAGACGCTTCCTAGGGCACCTAGCTCCCTACTCTGTTCATGGACTTTCCTTGGCCCCCAAAGCAGCTGGCACCCCTTCACTCTTCACAAATAACCCCCTCCACTCCTGACCAGAGGGGACACAGGGCTCCCCCAGGTGGCCAAATGTGCCAAGGCCTGAAGCTGGGGCGTGTGCAAGGACTCCCTTCCTTTATCTTGCCCCTTTAGCCTGATAAATACATCTGCCTGGTCAGACCAGGTGTTCCAGTTTGAGGTTTGGAAAATCAGGTCACCTGGATGTGTGTTCACTGCTGTGAACTGTGTGTGGTCCAGGTGTAAACTACCCTTAGCTGGGCTGAGGGCAATTTCTGACAGCCATTCTTGAAGGACTGTCTGCAGGGCCTGGCCATACACCCTGCTTTGTGTCATGGGTCACAGGACACAGAGACAGGAAGCCCAGCTAGAAGCCAAAAGCATACTGGAACCAGTAATCATCACCATTTATCACGCGCCTTAGGTGTGCCTTTCACCATGTTGCAGGCCTTCTATCCTTCATCTCTTTACTTCTCACAACAACATAGGAAATGGTTGTTATTATTATCCAAATATAGCAGATGAGGAAACTGAGGCTCAGTGAATTTAAATCCCTTGTTTAAAATCACGCAGCTAGGGGAAGCCTGAGTTTGAACTCAAACATGTCTGACTCCAAATTCCTTGCTCTTATGCAAGCTGGCCTATGCACAGGAAGACGACCTGGCAAAATAACTAGCAGAGGTATGAGTATGCTCATGAGTGAGGGTATACAGCTCCTTCCAGCACCAGGAGCACACAGAGCAGGTGCTCAGCAGAAGTAAGTGGCACTATGACAGACCAGTTATACAAGCATGGTGAATACACAAATATGAGAGAAAGGGAGAGTTAAGCCAGCTTCCTGCCCAGGTATATACACATAGGCCCAGGGTGACCCAGTAGCTGCTTGTGTGCAGGACAGCTTGGAGCTTGGGTATTGGTCCTTCTAGAACATAGACCCTTTGACACCATGCAGGACACTAAGGTCCAGAAAGTTCCAGTGACTGGCTGCAGTCTCCCCTCGGCTCAGTGCCAACTGAGGCCTAGCGTTCTAAACCCAGACAGGCTTTGGTGACAGCCACACGCAAGCAGGGGACACACACATGAACACAGGCTTGGTCACACACGCCCCGCTCTCACATATATCTTCTGAAGACAGAACCTCTGCCATCATCGGTTCTTTGCAGACACAGCTGAACTCTTGGCCTCTTGGGCACGTAGTGTAGCTCACACTAAGTGTACAGACACACACACACACACAGCTCTCAGACAAGGAGGAAAAAAGGTCAAGCTAGCTAGGGGCTGTGAATCTCTGGAACCACGTATAAATTTGTGCCTATGCCCTGGGATCAACCCCCTAGGTCGCAGTCTGTCCTCAGTCATGGCCTCCCAGGTTTTGAGACTGCTTTCTGCCTTCCCATTTGTTTTAAAGGATGGGCCAAGGCGTGAATGCCCAGAATGACCACCAGGGGGCGCACGAGCACTGACTAATCCTTTTCAGCCTAGCCTCCTTCCAAAACCTTTTTCATTCATTCTTAAATAGTCTTAAGCACTCATTCTGTACCAGATGATAGGACCCAGAGAAGAAAGGTTGGGGCGTGGGTCGGTGGGGAGTGGATGGACAGGGCAAGCGAACAGGCAGGACTGGAGGTTAGATGGGGAAGGTGTTGGCAAGAGAGGCTGGGTCAAAGATAACAGCTAGATTGATTGTACTGAGCACCAGCAGTGTTTCAAGCTCTTCGAAATTTTTGTATGCATTAATTCATTTAATCCATAACTGTATGAAACAGGCACTCCATTATTCAACTTTTATTGTGGGTGCAGTAAAGCTAGCACTTACTGAATAAAGTTGTTGTATAGAGTAAATGGATCAATATGATTATGTGCAAAGCACTTGGAACACTGCCCAGCTGTTATCATCGTATCCATTTTACAGATGGGGAAAACAAGGCCCAGGTCACAAGGAGGCAATCCTAAGCAAGCTGGTCCCAGAGTGTGCACTTACTCAGTTACTAGAACTTCCTGGTAGATCCAATCAGGGCTTCCTGGGGAGAGAGAGTTTTAGTAGGGATGAGATGAGACCTAATTTGAGTCTCAGGCTGGCTGTAGGGTGGGCGAGCCTGGTGGGAGGGGGACTGGTCCGGTGAGACCAAGGTCCCACCTAGGACCAGGAGGGCAGTAGAGGGTGGAGAGAAGACAGATTTGAGAGATGTGAGGGAAGCAGCCTGGAGTCTTGGTGCCCGATTTCAAGCCAGAGTTGGAGGAAGGAGGGGGCAGAAAGCAGTGGCTGGGGAAGCAGGGTGGGGAGAGGGTAGGGGCGTGTGGGGCTCCCACCTGCCTTCTGACCGTCAGCTCGGAGAGGGCTCCATACACTTGGGGCTGAAGACAAAAGAAAAGCAGTCCCAGATCCCTCTGCCCAATGTTTTCTAGAGAGCCTGGGGATGGTGTGACAGCAAGGGACTATGGGGCTCTGGGTTCCATGGCTGGCACTGCACCTGTCTCTCCCATCCTACCTGGCACCCTTGCTCTTGCCCACAGGCAGGACGCAGGCATCCCACCGACCGTCTGCAGCATCCGGCCAGTGAGAAAACATCCCCCTCCCCTCCTCAATGTTGAGGCTTCAGCCTCACAAAGCCCCCTCCTCTGCAAGCTCTCATTTAATCCTCACAGCAACCTGGAGTTAGGCCCTTATTATCTAGGTTTCACAACTGAGGGAGCCACCTTGGAGGTAAGGGGCCGGCCCTGGGTCCCTCTGCCAAGACTTTTGCTGCAAATCATGGGCTTTGACCTCCTCCACTCCCAGAACTACTGAACCCTTGGTGACCATCTTAGGGAGGTGGAGGCAGCTGTGCCCTGTAGCTTGTGAGCATGTGTGGAGCTGAGAAGGTCTGGGAGTGTGTGTGAGTTGCTCAGTTGTGTCCGATTCTTTGCGACCCCACGGACTATAGGCCGTCAGGCTCCTCTGTCCACGGAATTCTCTAGGCAAGAGTACTGGGTAGCCATTTCCTTCTCCGGAGGATCGTCCCAACCCAGGTTTCCTGCTTTGCAGGAGGATTCTTTACTCTCTGAGCCACCAAGCACTGTGTGTAGAGCTGAGAAGGAATGGGTGACTCCTGGTTTGGAGTCGCCAGGGTCCTCGGCAGAAGCAGGGTCCAGTTTCAGTCCCAGACAGGGGAACCAGCTGGGTGGCGCACAGAATCTCCCAAAGGGTGGGGGGGTGGAGTAAGACTTGCCTGGGCCGGCAAGTAGGGACAAAGAGGGCGCCAGCACACCTGGCGCCGGGCAGCCTGAGCCCGCCAGGCAAGATTCAAAGAGGAGCCGAGGCTGTGATTGGTGGCCCGGGTACCTCGCTCCACCCCTTCTCTCTCACCTCCCAGGCAGCTGGGAAAGAGGGCTGGAGTAGAGAAGGCCCTTCATCCTAAATCCTTAAGCACCTAGCGGTGGACTGGCTGGTAGTGAGCTCAATTAACTCCCTCCCGTACTGCGAGCCCTGCCAGGACCCTGTCTGGCTTTCTGGCGCCGCCGTCAGTCCCAGGGACTCCCCGAGCCGCTCGGCTTGGGTACTCGGGTCTCAGGTCATCCAAACACCCCCTACTCTGAGCCATCCTGCAGTTCGCAGCCTCCTCATTTTTTCCCTAGCCCGTCCTCTCGGGAGTATCCTCTGACTCCTCTCCCAGTGCAAACACAGGCGCCGGCCAGCCTCTCGGAAGGGACAGCTTCCTGGGCCCTAGCTCTTTTCCACTTGGGCACCCCAGCCCTCCGTGCTGCGGACCCGGCCCTCTGGGCGTCCCCGCGGGGCGTTGGCCCAGACCGCCCTGCCCTGCCTGGGTCCCCGGGGACCCCGCGCCCAGCTGGGCGCTGGGTGGGGTGGAGGTGGGGTTGGGCTCACACATTGCGAGACTCTTCGGAGGACCAGCCTGGGGGGGGGGGGGTGGCAGGAACCCGACCCCCGCCTGCGCCCCGCCCCCGGCGCAGATGGCGGGGTGCGGGCGGTCCCGGGCCACAGTTTGGGGCTTGGGTTTCGGCCGCAAGGGGCCCTCTGAGGCCGCGGCCAATCACCGCCCGACCCAGCCTCCCCCCAGCGGCCGACAGCCAATCGCGGCCCGGCCCGGCCGCCCCCGCCCCGCGGCGTCCTTTGTTCCCGCTCGCCCCGGCGTCCCCGGCGGCCGGACTCCCGGCCCCGTCCTCTGGCCTTGAGACTTCCGGCCCGCGCGGACCCAGCAGCAGGCACGTGCCCGTGTACGCAGTGTGTGCTCGCGCGTGTGTGCCGGGTCCGGCCACCGGCACAGGCCTTGCCCACTCGCATGACCCTAGATGGCCTGGCCAAAGCCCCAGAAAAGCTCTTCCGAGAGGCTGGACTTTGACCATGGGCGGGGGGCTCCGAGTGAGCACCAGGACTGGGCAGTGGTCCAGCTGAGGCCCCACCTTTCCTTCCTGGGCCGCGGTTTTCCTCGCTCTCTCACGCTTCCTTGCCTTTGCTCAGGCTGCTTCCTTGTCTGCTGCCTTTCAGATTGTTGTTTAGTTGCTAAGTTGTGTGGGACTCTTTGTGACCCCGTGGTCTGTAGCCCGCCAGGCCCCTCTGTCCATGGGATTTCCCAGGTGAAGAATACTGGAGTGGGTTGCTGTTCCCTTCTCCAGGGGTTCTTCCTGGACCAGGGATCAAACCCTGGTCTCCTGCACTGGCAGGCGGATTCTTTACCACTGAGCCACCTGGGATACCTGCACCTGATGAACAAGGAGTCTTCCCTCCAGACCTGCCTTGGGGGTCGCATCCTCTGTGACACCTGTGAGGGCAGCAGATTCCTCCCTCCTGTGTCCCCATCACTCACCCATCACCATCACGTGGTCCCCTCTAGTCTGGGATCCACATCAACCGCCAAGGGACTTAGACTTGGCAGCACCAAGTCCTCATCCCAAATACTTGGGGGGGTCACACAGACCTTCAGACCTATTCTTGGTTCCACCTGAAACGGAGGCTTGTTATCCCAGGCCTGCTGAAGGGATTAAAAAAGCTAAAATCTGCAAAGAAAAGAGTGAGTACCTGATCACCCACACAGACTGCCCTGGCTTGCCCTCCCAGAATCCCTGCCTCTTCCAAGTTCCCGAATCCAGTGGATGTTCCTCTTGTTCTTCGTCCCCTCCTTTCAGTCCCCTCCCCAGACCTCCAGGCCTTCTGCTCAGGACTTCATCCTCAGTATCGTTCTCCCCTTATTTCCTCCATGAGCTCATGCACTCCCAGACCTCCACCTGCCCAGCCTGGACTTGTCTCCTGGGTCCCCTGGAGACCTCCACCTGGACATCACTCAGCACCTCAAACCCAGGTTGTGGTAAACTCAAGGTCTTCATCCAGCCACACCTGCTCCTATGCCTGTAAAGGACTCACATCTTCACCACTGCCCAGGTGTGACCCAGGTGTCATCCCCACCCCACCTGCTTGCACACCATCCACTCTGACCATATCTTTGGCTCCCAGGTCTGGCTGTCCCACTCTCCCAGGGCCAGTGTCTTCCTTGGCCCATACGCTTGTCCTTTTTATCATCTCTTCTAATTGGCCTCTTGCTCGCTGCCTCCCCAGTTCTGCAGGGCCCACTGCTTAAGAGATTCCTCCTCTCCCTGGTCTCAGCATCCAGGTCCAACTCCTGGGTGTAACTAGAAGGGCCCTGCCACCCGGGCCTGCCTGCCTTCCCGTCTCAGCCACAGGCACACGAGTACTTCAGTCGATAGCCCTTGACACAGCGAGGAGGCTGGGAGTGGGTCCACCTGCCCAGGGCTCCCGCAGAGGAGTGATGCCAGGCACGGGGCGGTCAGAGGAACAGTGAAGACTGTGAAGTAGAACTAGCTCAGCAAACAGGTTCTGCACACAGGCACGCCTGGGTCTGGGTTATGGCTCTGCACTTGCATGCTTTGTGACCTTGGCTTTGTGATTCACCCTCTCTGGCTCTCATGTCCCGGATGCGTTTAATACCATCTCTTTGAAGGGCCAGAGGAGAACATAGGACTCAGGGCCAAGAATGGGCAGGGGCTGCCCCCCATCCCAGGTGCTCCCCAGCGCTTGAGCTTCTAAATCACCTGGGGGCGGGGCAGGGCCTGGGCTGAAAGAGCCAGTTGGGAGGCCTGGGCGAGGAGGGAAGGGGCGTGGGGCGGGGAGGAGAGGAGGGGAAGCCGACAAAAGAGACCAGCTGCTGTTTGCACACAAACCCCAAGTCGATAATGAGTGGAGGGGCGGGGGTGGGGCAGGAACTGTCTTGGCAGGAGCCTCTGCCAGCTGAAGAGTCTGCCCAGGATCACCATGCCCCTCCCTCCGTCGCCCCCAACCCTGGGCCCTCCCTGCTCGCACCCAGCTGTACATCTGCCCCCAGGACTGTGGCCGTGGCGGGGGGGGGATCTGGCCCCCCAGCCCAAGGCTCAAATCCTCCCCCTCGGGCCGCACACGTCCAGAGAGCAGTCCTGGGGAAGCCCACTGGAAGGGCTGGGGCCCAGGGGGGCCCAAGGGTGCTGAGGACTCAGAGCCAGCTCAGACTCCCTGCCTCCAAGCTCCCGGCCAGAACGGAGGCCCTGAGTGGAGCTCGGAGGGCCCAGAGCTTGGAGAAGAGACGAGGCTCCCAAATGGGAGGCTGGGACGAATCTGCTGACCCTGGGGCCTCCCACAGGGGCAGAGTGACAGCCCAGGGCTGAGGGGGAAGGCTGGAAGGCTCCCGTCAGCTGCCCCCACTCCGGCCCGCGGCCCCCGGCCCCGAGTCATGCAAGAGGGCCCCTGGGTTGCCCATCAGACAGGGGGCAGATAAACAAGGCCTGAGGAAGACCAGCTGGGACCCTGGGTGTCAGGAGTGGGACCCCCACTCCAGTCACGCCTGCTGGGAGGGTCGCCGAAGATTCCTGCTCCATCTGTGCCCATCTCCCAAGCCCCCAGAGTCTGGCGGGCCCTTCAGCATCTCCCCGGGGCAAAGAGCTCCCCTCTCCTATAGCTGGCTCCTGCCATGGGGGCTGTGGGTGCTGCTGACAGGCTGAGCCTGTGAAGGAGTGTGCGCCAGCCTAGCAACAGGCTCCTAGGGGCTGGGAGAGGCAGCACCAGGTGGGGAGGGCAGCTCCCATGCCCTCTCCTCCTCCACCCCCACCCCATGCCCAAGTTCCCTGTTAACACCTGCTCCAGAAGAGGGTTGGCTCCAAGACCGAGAGCCAGGATCCAGCACACTGCACCTCCTGGGGCTTTGGGCTTCTGCAGGCCAGACGCTAAGGTGTGGAGGGCCACACTCTGCAGGGGGCAGCCTCGGGGAAACCTCCCCCTTGTGGAACCTGAGCCCCGGGCCAGCCGGACACCGCTGGAGAGAGGACTGACCCTCCGGGCTCCTTCTCAGCCATTGACTCTCTTTCTCTCAAGGCTGGAGGGGGACTAGGTGCCATGGGAGAGGAGGAGGGCAGTCCAGGGAGCTGGGAGAGCTGGGCAAAGGCTAGGCAGTGGGACTGGGAGGGGCATAGGAGACGCTGAGCAGGAGGCTTGAGTGCCAAGGCGTGTTTGTCCTGAGGTCCATGGGACAGAACGACAGAAGATGCTGAGGAAGAAGCAGTGAGACAGACAGGGCTGTGGGGAGACCTTGGCCACAGTCCAGCGAGAGGCGGAGGCCAGGAGGATCTGGGCGCAGAGGAGTCGTGGTCCTGGTGTAGGGATATCACCGGGGGTCCTGGGGTCACGAAGGCCTGGCTCCCAGTCCACATCGTGAGCCTCTCTGGGGCTCAGCTCCTTCAGCTGTAACTTGTGGGTGCTATGAGGCCTCCCTGGCAGGTTAATCAGGAGGGTTGGAGATGGACGCACGCGGGAGTGCTCCTGAAGGTGAACTGTTGTCACTAGTGGGAGGAGGAGTAGCTTGAATGGGGCTCAGGCTCCTGAGTCACAGGTGGCCTCTGCGAGGTCAGAGCAGCACACTGGGGCTCACTTCCCCTCCTGGGGGTGGGGGGCGGTGGGTGCACACAGAGAAGGTTGATGGGCTGGGGGGTGGGGCTCAGAAGTGCAGTATGTCCCTGAGCCCAAGCTCGGCCTGGACAAGAACGGGGTTGCTGGCGCGGTGGCCCGCAGAAGCCTGGGTGCCACAGGGAAAGCGCGGGGCAGGGTCAGGAAGCCAGCACCCCACAATGGTCCAGATGGTGAGTGGGGCTGGACCTTGAAGGCTGTCAGAGTGCAGAGAGGAAGCTCTCTCATCCCCAGTGTGTGCTCAGGCGCCCATTTTGCCAAGCCTGAATGAGTGCGTGTCCAGGGGTTGCACCCTTAGGATGGAGAAGGCCCGCTTAAGACCCCAAGCCCAGTGCTGAGAAGGCCAGCCCGGTGCCACCCCGAGAAGGGACCAGGCTGGCTGGGGCCCAAAGTCTCGCCCGGCCCACCCTCCTAGACCCAGGCCACAGAGGAGGCATTGATGGCAAAAGAGGCGTCCAGAGGCTGCTGCAGCTGGGGCAGCGTGGGCATCACTGGGCTGGCAGGAGAAGAAGGATGATCCTCGGGCTCCAGGGCCCATGTCTGAGCATCTGGGGTCAGTGAGGGAACCCCAGGCATCCTCTCCCTGAGAGGCTTCCACGTGGCAGGCAGGCGGGGCATCTGACTCAGGGCCCACACAGCCCAGAAGGAAACACCCTGGACCTTCCCTCCCAGGTGTTGGCAGGAGGCAGAGGGCGCCCCCTCTGCCCTCATAATGGATGGTCTCAACCCTGCCTAGACTTCTTCAGTGACCCTTCAGCACCATGCAGAATAAGGGCACCTGTGCCTGGCCCACCTCTCAGGCTTTGCTCCCCACCCCCATCCAGAGCTTCCACTCACCTGGCACGCCCCCACTCCCTCTCTGATTCTCTGCCCAGAGCCCACTGGGCTCCCCACCCACCTTGCCTGCCTGTTTTCAGGGTTTCCCTACCCCTCAAGCCTCAGCTCAGCTTGCCTCCCCCACAGAGCCTTCTAGGATTTCTCCAGGCCAGTTGAGGCCCTCCCAGGCTCTCCCTGCATTTTGCAGGCACCTCCAGTGTCCTTATCATCTTAATTATCATGCTAGATTGTAACTGCTAACATGCAGAACTGCTTAGGACAAAAGGGCTCTTCCTCTCTTTCCTCTCGTAGGCAGCAAATAAACATTAGAGCGGCCAGTGGCCAACTCTGCCCACCACAGCCTTCTGCTGACGCCCACGTGAGCTGTCCACTCCAGGGACCACCTGGCCAGGGTGCTTTTAGAACAGGCAACTGCTTCAGAGCAAGCCAGGCCCCATTCACCTGCCCCTGAGCCCAGGGAGACACATGTGTGCTGAGAGGCACCCACACAGACACAGGCACTTGAACACACCTGCACACACAAACACACGTGTGCGCACACACTGACACATTTCTACACAGTCAGATGTGCACACATCTACACATGCATGCACACAGACACACATGCACCCACAGGCACATCTGCAGACACATGCACCCAAGACCCACTCACATAAGACCCACCCTCAGAGACACATAGGTACACTTGCACCCACAGCACATACCTGCACACACAAGGACCCACCAGTGCACAACCCTGCCGGGCCTCAGCAAGGGCGGAGGGACTGCTAATCTAGGTCCCACAGCTGCCACCGCCTTCCTCCTAGAGCCCCCAGGCCGGCAGGGGGCGCCCGAGGCCCCTTCCGTCCGGGCCCAGCCCTGGCGGGAGGGAGCGCGCGCGGGTGCCACCCACCCTCCGCCCTACCAAGCTAGGTCCCCTTTGTTCCCCCACCCGGAAAAAGGCCGCGGCACCGGGGAAGCACCCAGCTACAGTGTTCTCCAGGCGCCGATCCTGCGCACTCGTCTTGGTCCCGGAGATGACCGAGTCCCTGCACACGGACCGCCACGACCACAAGGAGGGAGATCCGCCAGCTCATCATCGCCCACTACCGGTCCAGGCAGGACCATGCGACCCCCGGGCCCCCGCAAGCCCACCGCCTCACAGGCCTGCAGCCCTGCCCCCTGCCCCTGCTCCCTCGTCTCCCTGAAAGTTTGTTAAGTGTTCTCCCCTGTGAGGGGGCCACCCAGAACATTGAAAAGGGAGCAAAAATCCCAAAGGCAAGCCTTCCGTCCTCCCCTTCTGCCAGTGTCCAGCTCTTCTGGCCCCAAGGAGCCTCCAGTGAGGACTTTGATTCCTAAAGAACAGAAGCCTGGGGGCCTCCCTCTCCTCTCACCCTGAAACCTGGAGTCCTGGAGCTGTGCTAGGCAGTGATTATATACACCGGAGTCATTCAAGACCTGCCTCTGCTGCTGCTAAGTTTAGGGCCTTGGGTGAGTGCGTGACCCTTCTGAGCTTCAGTTTTCCCATATGTAAAATGGGCTTGCCTGACACTCCCTACCTTGCAGGTGGATGTGAGGATACACAAGTCGGTGGATACCTGGTGTGGGGCCCGGCGCACAGTGAGTGGAAGCTGGCTTCTGTCCTTGTGGTGATTCCTGTGTGCTGACCGCTTTCCTGACTGAGCCCCTGGACAGAGTTTGGACCCCAGTAGAGAGCCCCGCAGTACATGCTCACTAAACCCTGGGACCTGCCCAGGATGGGGCAGCCTGGGAACGCTGCACCTGTGCCATCATCACACTGCAGGTGTCAGGGAAGAGCCTGGCAAGATGCCAGGCCATGTTTTTCAAGTGGTTGGTTTCTCTGGGATGTGGAGCTGGGCTCACAACCCGGTTCTTCCTCCTTGTTCAGGAGGGGGGGGGCTCGGATGGCTCTTGCTGTCCACTCCTCCCCACCCCCTTCCCAGTTGTCCACCATAATTAGGCTCTCTGTGGCTCGGGAGGGGGCGTCTGTGCCTCCTCTCCACCCCCAGACTCAGGCTCGCCCAGGAAGAGGGTCCACCCGCCCTCAGGGGCATTGCTGCCCTCGTGCAGGCAGGTGGGGAGCCCTGGCCAAGCCAGGTGGCAGAGGTGGGCACTCCTGCCCTCGCCCTGGCCTGGCCCCTTGCTCAGTGGTCAGCTGTGCGTGGGGCTCGGCAGGGCCCAGGAGGCTGCTCTCGTCATTAGCGGCCGGCCTCACTCCAAGTGAATTAGCTGGTCCTCAGGGAGTGAGCGCTGAGGCCTGCAGGCTCCTGGCACCGGCCAGTGATTCATTCAACACAGCCTCACCCCTGCCAGAGGCCAGCAGCATCCCTGCCCCCAGCCCAGAGGCCTGGTACCCAGAGCAGCCCAGGCTGCCCGTCCATCTGCCCCTGTCATCCTATTCATCAGGCTGCTCCCCGCTGGCTCCGTGGCGCTTGCCTCCATCCACCAGCCCCTCCCACATGCAGGCCTGGTGGCCTTGGATCCGCGCCCAGCTTCCGCCAACCTGGCCTGCCCTGCCAGGCTCTGTCTCCTGCTCCCTTTGTCCCCTGGGTACCTTGAGTAACCCGAGGGAGGCCCCCTCATCCTTTTCCCTCCTCCTCCTATGCCTTCCTGACCCCCCTCAACCGAAGCCCTGGGATACACTTAACTGGTCTTGATGAAAAACAGAAGTTCTGTCTATGCATAGGAGGTTCCTGGTAGCTAGCTGCGTGGGGCCAGTTCCTGCCAGGGGCCCTCAGGCCAGGGCCCCCCTCCTTCTTAGAACTAAGGTGGGTGGGGAAGGCACAACCTTGGTCACTGCCACAGAAGCCCTTAGGAGCCCACACACGTCTTCTCGATGACCGCCCTCCGCACTTTGATTTACTCAGCAGGAGCCAGGTGTTGAGAGGCCAGTGCTGCTGAGTGAATGAGTGGTGCCCTCCCCACACATAGCGACTTCTCTTCCTCAACACTTGTGACTCACATCTTGTCAAATCTCTCCAGCTTGAAAACCTTCCTCCTGCAGCTGCTGATTGGAGAGCACCCACATTTCATGGCCAGAGACCTGAATTCCGGGGCCGGCCGGTTGTCCACGAGTTGGATGATCACTCCTTTGAGCCAGCTGTTCCCCGTGGTCGTGCGGGGCTTGCCGTCCCTCAGGCTGGCTCTGAGGATTAGGCGCGTTTTATCTTGTACAGGGAACACAGGGCATCGAGATACCACCCAAAGACAGCCACCACGGACTCACTCCAAGTGTTCTTCCTGGGGGGGCTCCCTAGCACATATGTGGGCAATTTCCCCTGTATTGTTCTATAGTCCTTGATGGTTGCTCTATAATTGCTCTCAAATGGTTTAATCATAATAAATAGCATCTGCAGGGCAGTTTACACACTGTAACTCTTCCCGCACCCCCCCCACCTTTACAAAAAGAAACTGAGGCTCAGAGAAGTTAATGAACTTCGCTAAGACCACACAGCAAGCAAGGCGGCAGAGCTCACCCCTCCCGAGGCTGTGGGGCCGGCGGGTCCCCAGGCCACTGTGTCCCCAGGTACCGTGTCCCCAGTTCTGGGCAGGGGTGGGAGGCACAGAGAGCCTGGCAGAAGACATGGAGGCTGTCTGGGATCTGACCACTGGTGGGGAGGGGGCATTTCACCAGGTGTGAGGGTATCCAGGCAGGATTGTATGCTCACCTGTGGGTGCAGGTAGGCATTCAGGCTGAGACCAGGTGACCCCCAAAGAGGGCTTAGGGGTCATACCTCCCAGCGTGAGATGAGGAACCAGCTTAGTTTCACGATCTCTTTCTGTTCTTAGGTTTAGGTGACTCAGAAACTTCTAGAAAAAGACTAGGCCAAATGAGATGCTTCCATTGGAACAGAAAGCAGTGCTTCCATTGCTTTCAGTTGCACCCAGATAGACTGTTTTATTAGCTGTTTGCTGGATTTGCTTGTGTGCTGTTGTTTTGGTCAGAAAATAGGCACGAGGGAGGGAGGTGGACTGGACCCAGGAGCACAGAGAGGTGAGAATGGGAGGCGGTGACAGCAAAGCAGAGCCCGTGTGAAGGGGACGAGGCAGGGAGGAGCGATCCACAGGGGAGACCCCCAGTCCACCCAGGGCAGCCTCCTCATCTTCGAGTCCAGTTCGGAAGATGCCGCCTCTGGGAAGCCCTCCCTGACTGCTCAGCAGGACTTGTCTGCTCTCTCCCCGGGGTTCTCGCTGTTGTGGCCCTTGTTACTCTCAGTGTATACTTTCCAGACTGTGTCTGCCTCCCTCAATGGGTGGTGACCAGGGAGGGAGCCTGTGGGTGGATGCTAACATTTGGGAATGCTTAAAAATACAGAGAAATACAAAGGAAACTAAAGCAAACACCCATGTACCTGCAGAGAGCGGCTCTGTGCGCCAACGCTGAGATGGGAGGGGCGCCACCGTGACTGCAAACGCAGCAAGCACGCGCTCATATTCGCGCATGCGTCAACACGCATGTCTGGCTCACAGTAAGGAAACCTGTCGCCAGACATGGCTATGTGTTCACAGTTGCACTTCCAAGGCACGTGAACACCCATCAGGAGGTGGGAAGACTGGAATGGGGCCTGGTCCAGAGAAGAGAAGTTGGCCCAAGACCAGGTGTGGCTGCTGTGCACCGGCCGTGTGCCTGACTGCCAAGGGTGTCCAGGCCAGCACCAGGCCTGCCCCCAGCTGTCACTTTCACTGTGTGCTTCTGTCTTGATTGACAAGCCAGGCCCCCCATCAATGGACAGCCCAGAAGGAAGCCACCAGGGTTGGGGCTCCCTGACCTTATTTCTGGGGTTTCAGGCTGCTGCGACACTTCCTGGCCTTTCCTGCCGGCCCCTGTGGTTCCTGGATGACGTACACATGGGCACAGCCACTGTGGACAGATAAGGACTGAGGTCCCCTGGGAGGTGGACCCGTGGGCAGGGATCAGAGCCTTCAGGGTGGAGCTGGGTAACCTTGGGGCTAATACCACCAACCACACCGCCACAGTTCCTTGAAAAGCAACCATCGTGAGCTCTGTGTGCGGAGCAGAGAAATTACCACCAAATAATGATAAAGGGGCTTCCTGGTGGCTTGGCTGGGAAAGAACTCCCTGCCAATGCAGGAGACTCCAGAGATGCGAATTTGATCCCTGGGTCAGGAAGATCCCCTGGAGAAGAAAATGGCGATTCTGTCCGGGATTCTTGCCTGGAAAATTCCTGGCAAGGAATTTTGAGGAAAGGAGCCTGGCGGGCTACAGTCCACAGGGTCACAAAGTGTTGGACATGACTGAGCAGACACACAACAAGCTCTAAGTCATGGGTTGCTTTCTTATTCAGATGTGAACAAAATGACTGCCGCCCAGTGTCCTGCAAGAGCTCCAGTCTCCCTCCGTGTATGCCACAAGCACTTCAGTTCTCTCCATCTGATCCCAGCCCAGCTCTAGTCCTGCATGGGCACTTCTGGGGCTTCAAAACTCAGCTGGACTCAAAGGCACCGAGCCTCAGACGGCAGCTTGGAATTTGAAGAGGGTCTCCTCCACATTGCACTGGTAACTTGTGAGCCCCTCGGGAGCCCGTGGCCTCCCCCAGGAAGCCAGTTCAGGGAATGAAGGGGCATCAGACTGGGTGGTGGCTCTTTCTAGCCCGCTGCGGGGTCCCCTGAGGGACTAGCCGGGGTTCAGCCGGGGAAACACCCAGGTTGACAGTCCTAAGAAAGAGGTGGGGAGGCAGTCGGTGGCCCCCATGTTCTGCCCTCGTGGGGCTTGTTCCTGGGAGGGTTGGGCCACAACTTCTTGTCCTGAGCAGTGTGCCAGCACTCGGGCCATCCCTTCCCTGTTGAGGAGGAGAGAGCCAAAGCTGAGCTATCTGCTGGAAGCACCATAGAGGGGGCCATGGAGAGCGGAGGCGGATTTTTCAATCATCCTTAAATAATGCAGTGGATTTTACCATTTCTTGGAAAGTCCCCCCAAAGTCAAGAGAACGATACCAGGGAAATGGAGTGGGATGGGACGGAAGTGTGAGGGAGGGGCAGAATCACTCAGCTGCGTGGGGACAGGTGGGGGATTCTGGAAAGGGCTGGGAGAGTAGGGGGCAGCTACTTACGGAGCCAGGGCAGGGGCTGGGGAGACCGGTGGTGGGCGGCTCCCCTCAGGTGGCGTGGAATGACCTGTGTCCACCCTGCCAGTTCCCTCCAGGGGCCTCCATTTCCTCTCCTGTAAAATGGGGCACCTACCTGGATTGGTGTGAGGCTCAAACAGCATATAACTTGTGAGGAAGTGCTTTGGTATAAAGGGCTCCAGTCTTTTTATCACGATAATTAATTTAGGCCTTAGTTCTAACACAGTGGTCCCCAATCTTTTTGGTACCAGGGACGGATTTTTGTGGGCCTTCCCTGCTGGTTCAGCGGTAAAGAATCTGCCTGCCAATGCAGGAGACTACCGGTTCGATCCCTGGTCTGGGAAGATCCTCTGGAGAAGGAAAGGGCAACCTGCTCCAGTATTCTTGCCTGGGAAATCCCATGGACAGAGGAGCCTGGCAGGATACAGTCCATAGAGTTGCAAAAGAGTGACTGAATAACACCCTATTTCGTGGAAGACCATTTTCCTAAGGACCGGGATGGTTTTGAGATGATTCCAGTGCATTACATTTATTGTGCACTTCTATTTCCAATCTAATACCGCTGCTGGTCTGACAGGAGGTACCAACCGGTACGTGGCCTGGAAGTTGGGGACCCGTGTTCTGAAGTTCATAGAAATACCAAAAGGCCAACAGGAAAAAAAAATGACTGGAGAGGTTAGGTTAAGGGAAAACAAGGTAGGAAGTAAGAGGGGGTAGGGTTGATCCCATCCACCTCAGCGTGCTCTGGAACTGGGGAGTGGCCTCAAGGTGGGTGCTGGGCCTCTGGCAGCCCAGACAGGGAGGGAAATGTGCTTAGTTACAAGACACAGAGGGTCTATAAAGAAAAACTAAAGCAAGTTATTTGGGAGAAGTCTTTTTTTTTTTTTTTTTTTTTTACTGCACCATTTTGTAGGCAGTACCTCAGTTCCCCAACCAGGGATCGAACCTGGGCACTGAAAGTGCGGAGTCCTAACTACCGGACCACCAGGGAATTCCCCAGGAGACGTCTCGGGAGGGTGTTATTTATTCCCATTTTACAGGTGAGAAAACTGAAGCTCATGGAGGTTACACCTTGCCCAAGGATTCACATGCTAAGCCACAGAGGCAGGCAAGGAACCCTGCTCTGATGGGCTCCTGCCCCCACCCACCCCCAACAAGAGGACAGCAGAGGGACCTGGAGTTTGTGCTTCTAACCACCAGGCTACACTGCCCTGCTGGTGTTGGGGCCTGAAAAGAATTTGTCCTGTGGGTCACTATAGAGGACCATTGTGCAATGTTGGGCTTCCACAGCCCAGAGCAAGGCCACGATCAATGATAGCCTGGAGAAATATTCAAGGCATTGTTGCCAACTGTCTACTGATGTCACGAAAAAGCTCAATGAAACAGCCCGGGCGTATTTATTTTTCAGTAGGCTAACTTACTGGTGAGTCCTTGGCCACAAACAGTTGCAAAATGCTGTTCTCCCCGGGTCATTATATCCCACCAGAAGGAATCCTGCCTCGCAACCAGAAATCACCCATCTGGAGAGGATTCTCTGCTCCTTCTGCAACCTGAAAGGCATCTATCTACTGGAGGACGAGCCCCTCAGCTGGTGAAAATAAACTCCTTACCAGTTGACAGAGGAAAGTCCAAGAGCCTGTCCATGCCTTTGGAGGAGGCAGGAGTGGGCACAGGCTGGTGGGGGCAGGATTGCTTGTGACCAGTAGCTTTTCCCTTTGAAAGCAGGAGCTACATCTAGTTTTAAAACCCAGCTCTGCGAGGTACCCTGGGCAACATCCACCCACTCTGCCTGTTTCCTCTCTCATATTGTTGTTCAGTTGCTCAGCCGTGTCTGACTCTTTATAGCCCCACAGACTGCAGCATGCCAGGCTCCCCTGTCCATTATGATCTCCCAGAGTTTGCTCAAACTCATGTCCATTGAGTCGGTGATACCATCCATCTTGTCCTCTGTTGTCCCCTTCTCCTCCCGCCTTCAATCTTTCCCAGCATCAGGGCCTTTTCCAGTGAGTCAGTTCTTCGCATCAGGTGGCCAAAGTATTGGGGCTTCGGCTTCAGCATCAGGCCTACCAGTGACTAACGCAGAGTTGACTCCTGTGAGTGTGGGTAACACACCACCTAGGACTGAATGGGTTAACGTGGGTCTGGAGTCCAGAGTCATGTCTGACCCAGACTTTGTTCAGTAAACAGGAGCTGCCTGTCTCACCGCCCTCTCTACTGCTTACACCTTGTAGTTCTGTCCCTTGCCGTGCCCCTGCTGGGGCGGGTCTTCAAGGTTCTAGCCCGGTAGCCAGGCCCCACTTGTGGAAGGGCACGTTTGGAACTTCTCTGCTTGTTTGGGGCAAGGCATCTTTCAGAGGCACCCTCTCCCCTCCGACCCTCCTGCCTCACCTTCGTGTTCATGCACCTATCTCGCTGGTTTCCCTGTTGGAGCTGCCCAGGCTCCCTCGCCTCTGCTCTCTCCCTTACTTCTTTCCCTGACCTTAGCCTCTTGCCAAGCCTGATATGCTCCAGGAAGCACCTCTGCCCTGGGCCTTTGAGTTTTCAGAGCCAGCGTCTGCCAGGGCCCCCATCGCTCGTCAAGAGGGAGGGTGGGTGGCATGGAGCCCTGGCAGCTGGGGCCAAGGGGCTCTCTTCCTGGCCAGGGGCCACTCTGCTGGCAAATCAGGCACCTATTCTGGGTCCCAGCAAGCCCACCTGTAAAAGGAGGCTCTTTCCCATTCTTTCCATCTGCAGAGGCGCTTGCCATAACTGTCTGAAGCACGTTCAGGTTTTCTCTTTTTCTCTGGCATGGTGTACACATCCAGGATCAGGGCTGGCTCAGTGGAACGTCGGGCCCAATTCCACTTGATTCAGAGAAATAGAATCGTCACTTCTTGATGAAGTATAGCCAGATGTACAGAACACAGGGCCACGCCAAATGGGGGGATACAACCAGACCTGCCCCTGCCACCCCCAGCCTGCACCTATGCCCAGAGATCCCCTCTCAGTTCAGCCCAGGTGATGGGAACCAGGTGGGGAGGATAAAGAAATTTGCTTAGAACCAGTGTCACTCAAGCCTAGGCACTCCTCGTCCTAGGCATCCTCCAGTCCCTAGCATGCCCCAACTCCTACGGGTGGCTCCGTGAGGGGGAGAGGTGGGATTGAAGTGAGGAGTCATGGAGGACCCCCACCACTGCCAGGTGCCAGGCCTGCATGAAGCTGAAAGCTTCCAGTAACCAGTAGCTGGGGTTCTCAGCTATAGATATTTCTTTTTTTTTTTTAATTTTTCATTTATTTTTATGAAGTATAGTTGATATGTAATATTATATAAGCTATAGGTGTACAATGAAGTGATTCACAATTTTTTCATTGATAAATAATGTCATCATTCCTTTCCTTCTGAAAGATTCAACTCCTGTCATTCTTTTGTAGAAAAACTAATTGTTGTTGTTTACTCACTAAGTTGTGTCTGACTTTGTGAACCCATGGACTGTAGCCTGTCAGGCTCCTCTCTCCATGGGATTTCCCAGGCAAGAATACTGAAGTGGGTTGTCATTTCCTTCTCCAGGATGGATATTTCTTAATGCTGGTCCTTGCCTGCTTTGAGAGCCATTTCAAGTGGGGCTTCCCAGGTGGCACTAGGGGTAAAGAACCTACCTGCCAATGCAAGAGACGTGGGTTCAACCCCTGGGTCAGGAGTATCCCCTGAAGAGGGCACAGCAACTCACTCCAGTGTTCTCGCCTGGAGAATCCCACGGACAGAGGAGCCTGGCGGCCTACAATTCATAGGGTCACAAAGAGTCGGACACGACTGAGCGACTAACGCTAGACACTCGTTTCATGCAGGCTCACTTATTAACATTAATCATTAATTTCTGACTTCCCTTTTATCTGTTTCTACAGGTATTCAGAACACATTTTACTTCCATCATGGCTGTCCCTTATTTAATTATAGTTGTGACTTTGAAGAACATTCTGGAATACATTTTATCATCCTAAAAGTCTTGATTGAGGAAACCTCCAACCTATCACATACGGCCCAAGAGGACACTGGTTACTCCCTCGGTGATAGGTACTTAGTGGGGGGCCGGGGGTGTGGGTCTCAAAACTGTGTCTTGGCCAAGGACTTTGATGTGGTCCTGTGAACAACTCAGGATGGAGGGGGTACTGATAGCTTTGCTGCTCCCTCCCTGGAACTTGGGCTATATTCTTCCCTCCACTTGGCTAGTGGGAAAAGCGAGGCCTTGCCAGCAGCCAGGTGGATGGGGAGGTGTCTAGCCCATGCTTTCAAAGTAACACTCTTGAAGCACCTAAGTGGCAAGAGAGAGTGGCTTGCCCTGGAGAAAGCTGCCAAGAGCCAGTACACAGTCACAATTGTAGGCTTGGCTACAACACTGTAAGTTAAGAACGTGCTGCAGCTGAGGAGGCCTGGGGCTCTTGCTTCGGGTGTGTGAGCTCTGACTTTCCTCTCAGGCTCTAAATGCCCATGGAGCTTGCACTTCCTTAGAAAGGGTGCTCTTCTTTCCCTTCCCTGGGGAGGTTTGCTCTCTGGAGTAACCTTTCATCCTGTTTTGAAACTTTCCTATAGAATTGTCCAAGCCTCACTTTTTTCCCCCTGTGAAACCCTCAGAAAACCTCTTGGAGGAGAGAACATTGCTTTAAAGGAGGCTGAAATCTCCTCGCCTCACTCCCACCTGGATCTGGAAACCAACAGATTCCTATGCGCTGCACCGGGCAGCTGTGAGCCCTCCCAGGAGGGTGCAGGAGGCCCGATCCCGGTGTCACCCGCTTGCTCTGTGACCACTGCTAACCTTCACCATCCTTCTGCTCTGTCATGTGCAAACCAAATGCTCCCGGAGCCTCCCTGGCTTCTGCACCGCAGAGAAGCAGCGTTGGAGCTGGAAGCTGTTCTCGGACTGAGCGCTGCAGGTCCGTTCTTCATGAGTGTGTCTCAGATTTCTGCAGGAATGCCATAGTTACCAGCACATGAGTAAGGACCAGACCAGGGTAACCAGCCATCTGGCATGTCCAGGCGTTCCCTGGTTGGACCACTGAGTGTTCTGAGCCCGGAACCATCCAATCGATCACCTTGTCTGCACTCCCCTTGGCTGTGAGAGGGGGAGCTGGTGGTGTGTCCTCCATCCCTCATATCTTCTCCCCTCTAATTGAGACTGGGGGTGGCTCCTCTGCCAGGGGTGACGGAAAGGTAGAAAAGACCCATTTGAGTTTAACAGAGAAGAGGGAAGAGGAACCTTCAAGATGTCAAAGAGCCGGCCTCTCCCAGTTTCAACTTTAATCAGGTTGGGATTTCTGACCTGGCCCAGACCACCGAGGTCCTCAGCTGGGGCCCGCTCTTGGTTCCTGTCTTGCTGGGTTTCCACGTGGGGCCAGGTGCGGAGATGCCCCCTTAAATGCCTCCTCGCAGTCACATACCTGATTAACCTTTCTCCAGACGCCCTGCTTTCGCAGCCAGGGCAACAGGGTGTGTGCCCACACATGTTCTCCCCCAGCCAGCACCTTCACCTGCCACCGGGATGCTAGGCCCACGCACTCACAAACGGTACCTAGAGCTTAAGCAAAACACCTACTCGGGCTATGCAGAGAGGCGCGCTCACACACACACACACACACACACACACACACACAAGGATGCAGGGAAGAAGGCCTGGGAAGTGGTACAGGCCGCAGAAGATCCGTGGAGACACCAGGGCATGTGTGCTCAGGGGGTGGCCGGGGTCTTGTACACGGCACACACCCCCTCGCCCCAAGCCTCCCCAGAACTCCAGTTTGGCATCAGTTCGGGAGCAGGCCCTGAACTTCAAGAGATGTCCCCCTCCCTCTCCCGACCAGGCAGGAGCCTTTGGGTGGCCAGACCTGTGTGGGTACCAGGGCCTTCTGGCCCGGCTCCCCAGGAGGACGGGCAGGCCCAGGCGTGCTGCATGAGAGCAGGCGTGTGGAGGGCGGCTCTTACACAATCCTATCCGGGCTCAGCAGGGCGGGAGAGTTGAAAGGGCCCTGGCAGCTCCCCAGGCCCTGATGCCTGGGCAAGGAAACCACAGCCTGAAACTCCTGGGTTTCTAAAGGCGGGTCTTTTGGAGGCTTGTTCCTCTCAGACTCTATCCTTCCTCTGAGGCCACAGGGGCTGCCGAGGATGTCAGGCACCAAGTCACAGGCTTCCAGAAACTCAACTCGGCCGGTACCCTCCTTTCCCACCGAATACAGGAAGAATTTGCTGAAGACATTGTTCCTTTGTCCAGAGTCCTACAAAAACTGTGAAGCCAACCCACTTAGGTACAGATGGCAGCTGGAAAGTGGAATCCTGAGAACACTGACAGCTTTCCTGGTTGTGCCAGACCCTATTTTTAGGCACTTTCTGCATATGAACTTATTCAGTTCCCACCAGAACCCGTGGAAGGTAGATACTATTCTTGTCATCTCCATTTTTCAAAGGTGGGAAGCTAACTCTCCCAAATTCACACAGCGAGCATATGGCAGAGCTGGGATTTGAACCTAGGCAGCTTTACTAGCATTTACATTCTTTCTGGTCTCTTGGGTATGGAAATTGTGAGATGACCAATTAGGAACATGTTGGAAATGGCTTTGGAGCAAGAATTGCAAACTTAAGTGCCTACAGGGTGAGGCAACTGAAAAAAATGTGTGCCCCAGGCCAGCAGAGAAAGGCTTGTTGTCCAGCTGAGAGTGTGCAGGCCACGCAGAGGTGTCCCTCATGCAAATTCCCTAAAACCAAAACTAGCCTGGAGGCCAATTGGGTCCCCTGGCTTAAAGCAGCTCTAACCTAAGCCAGTGAGCCTCAGGCTGTAAACGTCCAGGGACAGGACATGTGGGCTCCCAAGGCATTACCAGTTTGTCCTGGGGTGGGGGGTGGGGTGTTGAAAGGTCACAGAAGCAGCAAAGGGCAGAGAGGCACCAGTGAGTCAAAGTGACAGGGGACGGGGATAACAACCTGTTCAGAAAGAGCAAAGGAGGTGAGGGGTTGCCTGTCACTGGAGAGACGAGGCTTTTTCTTTTTTTGGCTGTGCTGAGTCTTCATTGCTGCGCTCAGGCTTTCTCTAGCTGCAGTAAGTGGGAGCTCCATAGCATGGGTGCTAGGCACATGGGCTTTGGTTGTTGTGGCTGGTGGGCTCCAGAGCACTGGCTTGGTAGTTGTGGCACCTGGGCTTAGCTGCTCCACGTGAGACCTTCCCAGACCAGGGACTGAACCCATGAACCCTCCATTGGCAGGAGGATTCCTAACCACTGGACCATCAGGGAAGTCCTGGAATGACGCTCTCCATTAACCTAAATAACTTCTTCACTTATGAGGTGTCAAATGCCACATGCCTACAGCAAGATGGAGGTTCAAGGCCATAGCTGATTAAGGGCTCATTTAACAACAAAGATTCTTCCACTCTAAGGTTTTAGCCTCAACTTGGTCACTGATTCACTTGGTTACCCCAGGTCCCTTGCTATAATCCCTTGGTCCGCTTTCCTGACCTGTTAAAAAGGAGAGTGATAGCATATTAGAGGTTGAACCTATAAATCTGCCGATTTTCAGTTTTTTTTTTTTTTCAGTTGGTTTTGACCTTCAAAAAAACATCAGTTTCATAAAACCCAACCCTATAATTGTCCTACCTACTTTGGAAAGTGTGGAGAATACCTAAAAATGCTTGAAGCATGAGCCAGACGCTCACTGCCACCTACAGAGCAGGCACCCCATGTGTGCTCGGTGAACGGAACGCTGGTTCCAGAACCAGGTGCGCATGAGCCTTACTTAGCCATCTAGCCAAGCCGGCTGCACAGGGATCAGCGTCAGGCAAAGCAGTTCTTCGAGGGAAATTCACATTCACCCCGTTCCTCCCAGGATCTGCCCCCTCCCCTCGCCTCCCCTCCCCCTTCACTAAGGTCAGAATCCAGAACAATCGTGACCCGTTTTCAGCCGTGGACACAAGAGACGACTGCCCAAGGCCACTATCCAGACAGGGAAGAAGACTCAGTCTCTCAAATGCGGCACAGAACAAACACTTAATGCATCCGCGTTCCGTGGACTAAACAATCCCTTCCAGGGTAACCAGAGTTTAAGGGTCGCGCCGCAGGAGGCGCTCTTGTGCCTCACGTAGGAGCCGCACAATCCCTCCACGTCTCGGGATAATATGATACAAAGGAAGGGTCGTGGCCGCAGCGGCCAAGGAGACCCTTCCTACCCTGGGGTGTAGGGAGGCCCCGGTCTCCGTCTCAATAAAGGCAACTGACGGCGGGCAGGAGCGGAGTGAACAAAAAGGTTAGGACGCGTGGCCCCGGGGGACAGCACTTGCCAGTTCTTTGGTTTGGCAGGCGCCCGCCCCGGGGGAGAATCGCACCTCCAACCATCGGGGCGCCCTGGGACCGGGCGGGGACCCGGCGGGCGCCCCACCTCCGCGGTTGCGTACCCAGGACAGGATGGCGACCGCCAGGCAGCGGGAGGTGGCGCGGTGCCCTGTCCTGTCCAGCACCTGCCCCACGTTCTCTTCTGGCGGAGGACAGGGAGTCCGGGCTTCTCTTTTCCCCAAAGGACAAACTCGCTTGGGAAAGCCCCCACAGGCCAGCGGCCAGAAAGACAGATGTAAATGGGGATGTGAGCCTGACAAGCGAGCGACAGGGGCAGTGGGCAGTGGGAGGGGACCCCGACCCGAGTGGCGCCCGGCACTCCGCCCCTGCTCCCGGCTGGGCAGCGGAGTCTGTGGCCCGAAGGGGTGCAGCCAGGCGAGTCCGCTCTGAGCTTAGTTAAGGGGGGGGGGTCTCGCGATGGGACTAGGGCCACGGGTCCTTGACTTAAAAGAGAAGGGCGACCCACTCAGTCTCTCTTCTTGCCCCCCGACATCAAGCACTGCTGGACTTGGCAGTCGTCCCTCCTCCGCGATCCCAGACTCCGGGTTTTCTCCATTCCCAAATCGGCGGCCCCCAAGAGACAGACAGAGGAACCTGCCAATGGCAGGACGCAAAGCGTCAACTTTGTGTTCGCCCGCCACTCTCAGCCAGTGTGCGCTCGCTTCTCCCGAGTCCCGCCTTCCGTGTCGGGCGCCCCCTTCTGGCAACACGGGGATGAACCCTATCTGTCGCCATCTTGTGTGTGGCACAGGTATTTTTCTCTCGAACGTCTTTGCAGTCAATTCGCTCTTTCTAGCCACAAAGCCGGTGTCTCAGTTCGACAGCCAAGCGCGATAGCGATAAGGAGAAGGTTGCCTACGGTTTTCGGATCGTCCGAGTGGGTTGGGTCGCCACGTCACGCCACGCTCGCGGAGCCCAGCGCCATCTTGAGTGTGGCGTCTGGATGATTCCCTTCTTCAGGCTCCGCGTGTTCCCTAAATGGCGCCCAAAACTTCAAGGAGCCCCCAAGGACTAGCCCACCAGGTCTGAGGGACGATTACGCCCCCTCGAGTAACCTAGCAAGGAATATGTTCAAGTACCCTTCACAGAGCCGTAAGTGGGGCGGGAGAGCGACAGACTCGAAGGCCGGGTCCTGGAAGCAACCCAGTAGCTGTCGCGACGGCAGTGATCGCTCGGGGCAGGCGCAAACCACAACCCCGAAGTGCGGGCACCCGCCGTGTGTTGCGACGCCCGTGGGCTGTTCAACTCGACGACAGAGCCCATACCGGCCCTCAAGTCCCCTCGATGCACGAATACCCATAACGTGAATGCTTGGCACGAAGCCCACTCGTCGGCTGGCTTTGGCGACGGGCGCCTAGGCTGGGTAGTGGGCGAAGGGTTCACCTCCCCAAAGACTCGGGGCACCCAAAACTGGACGCGGGTAGAGGACGTAAGGGGTGGCCCAGGTACGCGGGTCTCGGCCTCACGCCCTCATTGCTCGTCGTGGGGCTTTCCACCGACTTGCGCTCGGAAAATTCGTGGTGGAATGTGCCAAGGCGCGGGGGTGAGCATCCCCGTGCTACGCAGGGCACCGCCCGGGGCGAGCACAGCCCAGCACCCGGCCTGCCCCTCCCCCTCGCTGGCAGCCGTCGTATGGGCCAGCCCCCTCCTCCTCCTCTTCTTCCCTCCCCTCCTCCTTCCGAGCAACCGCGGGGAGGGGTGAGGACTGGGTGGGGGGAAGGTGGGGGCTGGGCGGGCAGCTTTGCCGCGCTTTGGCTTTCTGCGTCAGCAGCTCCGAGCAAAACAGCAGCGGGAGCGCGCGCCCCCTCCCCCAGCGGCGTCGGTGCTGCCGAGACCCGGCAAACTCAACCCCGAATGACAGGGCGGCCGGCGACTGCGCAGCACGGACGCACCAAGGCACTGCCGCTTTAAGCATGCTTGCCCATTGTTCGGAATCGAGCCAATGAGCGAGCGCCCGCTCCCTGCCCGCAGCCAATGGCGATCGGGTAAAGGAGGCCGAGCGCCGCCCACTAATCTATATTAAAGGTTCTGGCGCCGCGTGAGTTCCCCACTGGCTGCTCTGAAAAGCCATCTTTGCATTGTTCCCGTCTCCGGCTTCCCCGCTCGCCGCAGCCACCTCCGCCGCGCGCCATCTCCGCCGCCGCGGACTCCGGCAGCTTTACCGCCAGAGTCCTCCAACTCCCGCTTTTCTTCTCAGTCCGTTGCATCGGATCACCGGAGTGCCCCATCATGTCAGACGCGGCCGTGGACACCAGCTCCGAGATCACCACCAAGGTGAGGTTAGACGCCGCCCGCCCGCCCTTTTGGGGTCCGCGCGCCGCCACTGCCGGAGCGGTGTTTGGCGCGCAGCGCTCGGCTCTGCCCGGAGCCCGCTGTTACTCCCATTCGCTGAGGAGCCCACCCGCTCCCGGCCTAGGCTACTAGGTAGCCCACTCTTTGTGCGCGTGCGGGGGAGGGGGCGGGAAGCGCCGTGGGCAAACGTGATGCCCATCCGGGAGTGACCTGGGGGCCCTCAGGGACCCGGAGATGCCGGTGCGGAGGCCGACAGGCTCGAGGGGAGGCTGCTGCACGGGCTCCCGAAACTTGTTTGTGACTCTATGGAGTGGCGGCCGGAGGATAGGGGCCTGGCTGGGGGGTCGTCGGCCCACGGGGCGCGCGAAAATAAGTTTGAAACTGGAGCGCTTTTGGAATCGGAAGTGCCGGGGTGGGGGGGGGGGGCGCCCGCATGTGCGGGCGCGGGCCGGCTGCGGAAAGTGGCGGCTCCGTGGCGAGCGCCCGTCCGCGGCGCTGCTCTTTGTTCGGCGCTGGGCGGCCGAGTTTTCGCGCCTTGTAGTGGATCCGAGGAGGTTTATCTGGACTACGTTCCGATAAGGCGGAGCAGGGCGGCGGGGCCGCGGTGTTGGTTGTCTTCCCGCGGAGGTGTGAAGGTCTCCGCCCTGGCTGTCCTCGGGGAGGGGAGGTGGATTTCCCGGGGTGTGCAGGAGTGTGCCGGGAGCAGCCGGCCATCCTCAGTAACTCACCAGCGGTACCAGGCTCCGCAGAGGAGGAGGCGAGCCCACGCGCTGGAGGGGAGGAAACGGAAAGTGAAGGAGCGGCGCGCCGGGGCAACGAGGGGCGCCCCCCGCGGCTGCCCGGGGGCACCGAGTGTGCGGCTGCTTCGGGGACTACGCGGGCGAACAAAAGCTGCGGCCACGACTACCTTCTTGCGGGGCCGAGCCGCGCGCCGGGGGCTGTTAGGGCCCGGTGATGCGGATTCCCTGCCCATGGTTTTGAGATCCTGCGCGTTTGGCGCAGCTCCGCTCCTGCGCGCCGCGTCGGTCCGGCTGTCTGCCCTGGGGAGTGTCTCCGCCTTCGGCGGGAGCATGGCACTTTGAGAGGGGACCGTTTTTTTATCCTTTGGTCCTTATTCCTGCCCCTGCGGAGACAGGCGCGAGTCACCTTGGCGTCTCCTTAACCCCTGTGCCCCTGGCGTCACCCCTGGTTTTTTCCCAGGGGCGACTCCTCGAGAGGAGCGGGGTTTGGGATACGGATGTCCGCCCGGGCTCCCTCCGACCCTCTCTGGGCCCAGCCAGGGAACTAGTTTGAAGGAGAGGGTCAGCCCTTCCCAGCTCGGGCGTTCGCTTTTCCCCCAGGTGATTTCCCGCTAGGAGCCCTAAATGCCCGTGTGAAATGCGTCTCCGACGGCCTCGGGCTGCGGGGCTGCTAAAACCCCGCGGACTTTGGGGCGACCTCCCGCGGGGCTTTGCCCGCCAAATACAGAGACGTAGGCCTGCGAGGGAAGGCGGTGGGGGCGCCCAGAGGCCCGGAAAGACTGGAGAGCAACTGGCGCGCGCCCAGCGGTGCCAGTGCAGCCAGCGGGCGCCGGGTCCCCAGGGTCAGGGGCGCACTCGGAGGCCCGGGGCCACGTGCTCCGCGCGCGCGGTGCGTGCAGAGGCCCGCGCGCAAAGCCCGCCGGGCGGGGGTGCGCGCCTGCGCGCCACGACCTCCCCGCCCCCACAACTCCCCGGGGCTCTGGCCGCCAGGGGGCGGGAGCGGGCGGTGCCGGGGTCCTCGCCGTGTCGGACAGGGATCACCAGGAGGATGGGACCAGCAGGTGCCCCGGGGCCGCCCTTCACCGGAAGGCGCCCGAGCGGCCTCCGGTTCCCGGGCTGCTCGAAGCCTGTTTGTGTTGGCGGCAGAGTGTGCCGCACTGGGTGGAAAAAATTACGGGGCTCAGGGGTGCCCGCGGCGGCGCTGCCCCTTGGGGCACGGGCAAGGCGCGGCCTGACGGACACCGAGCTGGTCCTCGGACGGGCGAGAGAGCCACGGAGAGAAATTTGGCGATCCCAAGTGCCAGATTTCAGGGACGGCTTGCCTGAGTGCAGCAAGGCCTCGTTTGGGCCCAGGACTGTGTCGCCTGAGCCCGTGCCCATGTCCAGGGTTGTGGTTTGTCTCCTCCTGGGATGGCTGTGGCTTACGGAGGGATCGGTGGGATTCTGGTTCCTTCAAAGAAAGCCCTGCGCTTGCCAGATCGTGGGCTCCGAGCTCGAGCTCGGCTGCGGGGCCTCTGGCTGGAGAAGCGGCTTCCCCAGTTTTGCCAGTTAGTTCCCTCCCATTCCCTTCCCAGGCTAGTCCACCCACGGGAGTCCTCCCGCAGTGTCAGGGCCCTCCCCCATTGCCTTATTTATTTATGGCACATACCTGCTGTCTTCCAAGAAGGATTTGTGAGAGGCGGAGCTCTCTGGTTGGAAACAAGTGTATGATGAGAGAGTGTGAGTGAAGTGTTCCTGGGCTCGTCTGCCCGGCCAGACAGGTTTCGGGCTGTGGTGCCACATGGCTTGTTTCCTAAGAAGCATGAGTAAAGGTGCGGTGGGAACCGCTGTCCTGGATCCGTTTTTAAAAGTGTGTGTTTTTAAGGGTAGAGAAGTAGGATGAGATCCTGGCCACAGACACGCAGTATTCTTTGCTCTCTCCCACCTGTAACTTTGAGCTTGTAACTTGGGACATCAAGATTGGCACTGAGTCCCTCCTACCTGTAGGTTTGGGCCCTTTTGCCAGCCCTAGGCTACTCAGAACACTTACTGGTTCCCTTTTCCTTTTTGAAGGACTTAAAGGAGAAGAAGGAAGTTGTGGAGGAGGCGGAGAATGGGCGAGAGGCACCTGCAAATGGGAATGCTGTGAGTGTCCGCTGTGGTCATGACCCCCAGCAGCTCCTGGCCTGGAGTTCTTAAAAGACTTTGGGCTTAATTAGGGGTTGGGGGGGGGGCTGGCGAGGCCTTGGTCAATTCTATACTGGGATCTCTGGCTGGAACTTGAGGGGGCATCTCTCTGGGGATCTAGTCTGTAGACGCCTAGGGCAGGGTCTGGAAGAAGGGACGTTGGGGGCAAAGTGATATTCTCTCCTCATCAACAAGCTGCTCTGCTTTCTGTCGAGGAGAATGAGGAAAATGGGGAGCAGGAGGCCGACAACGAGGTAGACGAAGAAGAGGAGGAAGGTGGGGAGGAAGAGGAGGAGGAGGAGGAAGGTGACGGTGAGTAGCTTTGTTCCTCTAGTACCTTCTTCTGGTCTTTCCTAGCAGATGGGAAGGGACTGGGGTCTCCCTGGGGGGGGTGGCAGGTCCAAGGGACCACCTCCAACTGGGCTTGTAGCCGCAGAGCCAGCATCTTCCTCACTTTAGGCCAGTGACTGTGGGGCTGTGCCCCCAGCACCACGCTCACTCCCACTGGAGAGTGCCCTCCATGCCCTGATCAGTTGGTTGGTTGGGTCTTCTTACCTCTGATGACAGGATGCCCGTGATGGGCAGTGTGGGTGCAGCGACTGCCCGGCTTGTCAGGCAGTAGAGATGGCTCGGCGGCACTCAACCCTGGCTACTCCTACTGGAGATTGCCCAAGGAGCTGTGGTTTTCCTGTCATCGTGTCCATCCCCTCCACCCCCCCAACACACACCGTTGGTGGCTGCCAATGCGTGGGAGAGTCCCAGGACCCACTGCTTGGTTAGTTGAGGAAGGCAGAGTGGTTTACCTGGGCTTTGTTCTCTCCAGGTGAGGAAGAGGATGGAGATGAAGATGAGGAGGCCGAGGCAGCTACGGGCAAACGGGCAGCTGAAGATGATGAGGTGGGTCTGGTCTGGCTCAAGTTGGGAGGGAGGGCTGGAATCTGAGACACTAACACTGGAGGGGCTGATGGGACTTAAGTGGTTATAAGATGCGGTGTGTGGTCCTTCTCTTGAGCTGGAGTGGGCACAGGGGCCCTCTGGAACCTCGCATGCCTGGTTTTAGCTCGGCCAGTGGGTGGGTGGGCCCAGGGGATTGGAAGAGGCCTTGACAATCCTTCCCTTCCCAGGATGACGATGTGGATACCAAGAAGCAGAAGACTGATGAGGATGACTAGACAGCAAAAAAGGAAAAGTTAAACTTAAAAAAAAAAAAAAAAAGGCCGCCGTGACCTATTCACCCTCCACTTCCCGTCTCAGAATCTAAACGTGGTCACCTTCGAGTAGAGAGTCCCGCCCGCCCGCCCCTGGCGGGCAGCGCCACCCGCAGACGACAGCGCTCTCCACCACCCAACCAAAACCACAACGTGAATTTGCAACAGGGGAGGAAAAAAGAACCAAAACTTCCAAGGCCCTGCTTTTTTTCTTAAAGTACTTTAAAAAGGAAAATTTGTTTGTATTTTTTATTTACATTTTATATTTTTGTACATATTGTTAGGGGTCAGCCATTTTTAATGATCTCGGATGACCAAACCAGCCTTTGGAGCGTTCTCTGTCCTACTCTGACTTTACTTGTGGTGTGACCATGTTCATTATAATCTCAAAGGAGAAAAAAAACCTTGTAAAAAAAGCAAAAACAACAACAAAAAAAACAATCTTATTCCGAGCATTCCAGTAACTTTTTTTGTGTATGTACTTAGCTGTACTATAAGTAGTTGGTTTGTATGAGATGGTTAAAAAGGCCAAAGATAAAAGGTTTCTTTTTTTCCTTTTTTTGTCTATGAAGTTGCTGTTTATTTTTTTGGCCTGTTTGATGTATGTGTGAAACAATGTTGTCCAACAATAAACCGGAATTTTATTTTGCTGAGTTGTTCTAACAAAGCTGTCTCAGGCCTGGTTTTTCTGTTTTGGTTTCTTTAGGCTTTCTCCAGAGGGGCAGGGGCAAGAAGAGGGGAGGATCTTGAACTCTGACCCTGCTGTCCTTCCTGGGGACAGTGGGTTGGAGACCTCAGTTGGGGGGAGGTGTTGCCCCTTGGCACCAGGGTCTGGTGGGTGGCCATCCTGTAGTCAAGGACTGAGCTGCAACTGGCTCATGGGATGTGATGGGAGCACTAGACCTGTGGGCTGAAGAGGAAGCCACTTACCAGCTTCATCTCTTTCTAGGATTGTAGTGAAAACATCACTGAAGTTGTTTAACCCAGTTTCATTGGAAAGGTGCAGACACCTCTGTATGCTGGGGGAACAGGCTACATGCTGGGCTGCCCTCTGAATCCAGGAGGTGGGGTGGGGGGTGGTCCAGGCCCAAGTTCCAGAGATGTCACCTCCCTGTGGGACAGCAGCTAGCTGTGCCCTTCACCTCAAAGGCCTCACTGGATTATTCTGGCCACTGAATGGCTCCCCCTGGTGGTGACATGTGGCATCTTCTGGTCCCTTAAGACCTATATTCCAGATACTAATGCTGCCTAGGTTTAGTCACTAAGAGCGAAGTCTTGTCCAACCTTTGGGCCCCAGAGGTTGTAGCCTGCCAGGCTCCTCTATCCATGGGGTTTCCCAGGTAAGAATACTGGAGTAGGTTGCCATTTTCTTGTCTAGGGGACCTTCCCGACCCAGGGATTGAACCTGGGTCTCCTGCATTGCAGGGAGATTCCTTAGCGACCTTGCTGTTACTCAAAATCCCGATCTCCAGAAGAAGCAAATAACTTGGTTGAGGGAGAGACACCCTTCCCCTTCAGCACAGTAAGGGGTGATGGGTGAGCTGCTTGAAGTTTTCAGACAGGTGAGTCAGGAGAGCGAGCTGGACAGAGTGACAAGCTCAAGCCCTCAGGGAGAGAGGTGACTGTTAAAGAGCCCTCTTAAGAACCTTCTGGGAAAAAAAAAACTTCTGGGGTCTACAGATGAGCCTCGTGTGGTGGGCTGGGTCCACAGAGGAGCCGCGTGTGTGTGTGTGTGGGGGGGCCGTCCACAGAGGAGCTCGTGTGTGTAGTGTGGGTGGGTCCACAGAGGAGCCTCTGTGTGTGTGGTGTGAGGGGTCCACGGAGGAGCCTCATGTGTGTGTGGTGTGAGGGGTCCACAGAGGAGCCTTGTGTGTGGTGTGAGGGGTCCACAGTGGAGCCTCCTGTGTGGTGTGAGGGGTCCACAGAGGAGCCTCGTTTGTGTGTGGTGTGAGGGGTCCACAGAGGAGCCTCCTGTGTGGTGTGAGGGGTCCACAGTGGAGCCTCCTGTGTGGTGTGAGGGGTCCACAGAGGAGCCTCGTTTGTGTGTGGTGTGAGGGGTCCACAGAGGAGCCTCGTGTGTGTGGTGTGAGGGGTCCACAGTGGAGCCTCCTGTGTGGTGTGAGGGGTCCACAGAGGAGCCTTGTGTATGTCATGTGGTGTGTCCACAGCTGAGCTGCGTGTGTGTGCTGTGAGGGGTCCACAGGAGTCTCATATGTGTGGTGGGTGGGTCCACAGAGGAGCCTCGTGTGTGTGTGGTTGAGGGGTCCAAAGAGGAGCCTCGTGTGTGTGTGTGGTGTGAGGGGTCCACATAGGAGCCTCGTGTGTTGTGTGGGGGGTCCACAGAGGAGCCTCGTGTGTGGTGTGAGGAGTCCACAGAGGAGCCTTGTGTGTGTGTGGTGTGGGGTCCACTGAGGAGCCTCGTGTGTGTGTGGTGTGAGGTGTCCATAGAGTAGCCTTGTGTGTGGTGTGAGGGGTCCACAGAGGAGCCTCGTGTGTGGTGTGAGGGGTCTACAGCAGAGCCTTGTGTGTGGTGTGAGGAGTCCACAGAGGAGCCTTGGGTGTGTGTGGTGTGGGGTCCACAGAGGAACCTCGTGTGTGTGTGGTGTGAGAGGTCCACAGCTGAGCTTCATGTGTGGTGTGAGGGGTCCACAAAGGAGCCTCGTGTGTGTGGTGTGAGGGGTCCACAGAGGAGCTTCGTGTGTGGTGAGTGGACTCTCAAGAGTCTGCTCCAACACCACAGTTCAAAACCATCAATTCTTTGGCGCTCAGCTTTCTTTATAGCCCAACTCTCACGTCCATACATGACCACTGGAAAAACCATAGCCTTTACTAGATGGACCTTTGTTGACAAAGTGATGTCTCTGCTTTTTAATATGTTGTCTAGGTTGGTCATAATTTTCCTTCCAAGGAGTAAGTATCTTAATTTCATGGCTGCAATCACCATCTGCAGTGATTTTGGAGACCAGAAAAATAAAGTCTGCCACTGTTACCACTGTTTCCCCATCTATTTGCCATGAAGTGATGGGACTGGATGCCATGATCTTAGTTTTCTGAATGTTGAGCTTTAAGCCAACTTTTTCACTCTCCTTTTTCACTTTCATCAAGAGGCCCTTTAGTTCTTCACTTTCTGCCATAAGCGTGGTTAGTGTAGGGCAAATAACAGCCCTGCTGGGCCTCCATCTCTTACTCGGCCTGAAGGCAACACTAGCATGAGGCGTGTGCCACGGCCCAGAGCTGCTTTTCCTAGGGTCTTAAATCTGCACTGTGAGCTCACCACACTCACTTTCTCATCCGTACTGCTCCGCCTCCAAAGGTTTGGTCTGGAACTGCCCCTGCTGCCTTCAGCAGAACCCACTTCTCTGTAGTCCCGACTTTAGTACACAATTTATCACTGCCTGGGACGTGTCCTCGGGCTACAGGGTCGCCTGGATCCTATTCAAGTTCTCTCCAAGGGGAAGGACAGGATACCCAAGGACTCGGAGTTGGAAGATTTGTGGGGAATGGGCGCCCCCTGGTGGACATAGAGAAACTGCATGTGTCTCTCGCGTTCACAGCCTCTGCCAAAAACAAGATCTTCCTCCCTCTCAGGAAGGAACCCCAGTTAGACATGAAAGTCGGTGGTCATTTCCCAAGCCTTCCCTCTGGACAGCTGATGGCCCATCTCAGGGTTCTGATCCTTCTTTTCCTGGAGTGGAGACCGTAGGTCTCCCAGAGCCAGAGCTGAGACCTGGGTTGGCTCCTCTGGAGTCATGGGAGTCCCCTGGATTCTGGACCCTCTTGTTTCAAACTCCCTCTTGTTTGAAAGTGTTAGTCGCTCAGTCATGTCCGACTCTTTGCGACCCTGTAAACTGTAGCCCGCCAGGCTCCTCTGTCTATTGCGCTTCCCTTCTCCAGGGAATCTTCCCGACCCAGGAATCGAACCAGGGTCTCCTGCATTGCAGGCAGATTCTTTACCATCTGAATACCAGGGAAGCCCTCTCTCTTGTTTAGTTCTGTTGAAATGCGTGGTGTGCAGAGCGTCCTCCTAGGGCAGGCACAGCTTTGGGCCATATCTGGGCCCTACTGTAGGACTCCACACAGTGGCTGCTGCCCTGATGAGGCTCTAGGGCCTCAACTGATTGGATCTGGGGGTGGGGGGTGGGGGTTCACAGCTGTACTCCCTGGAACTCTGCCTCCCTTCCAGGCTGCCCCAGGCCCGAGGGCCAGGATCTGGGGTCACCTCTCCACAGCTCCGTTGCTGGCCCAAGGGCCCAAAGGCCTCCCAGGTCCCAGTCCTTCCAGGACCCTGATGCCCACTCTCCCCTGTGGCCTCCTGTGTCCTGGATGCAGGCCAGCCCTTTCTGCCTCAGGTCCCTGGCCACTCTGGTCCCTCCTGGTGGAAGTTGCTTCGTGAGGATGAAAACCCTGGTAACAGCTTTACTTGAGCTGGTCCAATTCTGCAGTGTGGCTGCTTGTCCCTCCCAACGTCAACCCTTTGTAGGCAAGGACAGGGCTGTCAGCCTATGGAGACCTCAGTCTATTCCCACAGGGTCTGGTCTGAGCTCAGAGAGGTGATGAAGGCTCAAATAAGGAAACAGAGGTGAAACATTCTAAAACTGCCTGGGACATTGACCTTATATACTGGGTGAATGATATGTGCATTATTTATGGAGATGGCGTAGTAGCCAGTGCCTGGTGTGGATTCCACGAAGTCCTGGGCATAGCCAAGAACCCAGCTAGAAGGGTGTATGTGCCCTTGGGAGCTTTCCATCAAGGCTGCTGCCCATAGCAACATGAAGTGCCAGGTGGTCATTTGAGACAAGCTCATTTCACATGCACCCATGCTGGGGCCCAGCTGTGAGGCTCTTGGCAGCGAGCAGATCCCTTGAAGGAAGCAGATGCTAGTGAGGATTCCAGAAGGTACTGGGGACATCTGTTGTTTTTGCGACCAGCAGTCTTTACTGTTCTCTTGGCAATAATCTCCT